ATATGTATACCTCCCCACTGTGTCTTTGTACCTAGTATCATTGAAATCAGTCAAGGCATCTCTGAGAAATATCAATGGACAAACAAAAGCCATGAGCATTTCAACAAAGTAAAACAACGTGCATCTGTATAGGTGGTTCCTTTGTCTTTGTAACAAGTCTCAACAAAATCGGTCAAGCCATCTCCGACAAATGACGATGGACCGAATTTAACTTGAATTTTGGCATTAAAAATATTTGATCGAATCGGAAAATAAATTGACGTGCACATGTATGATTGACCACTATGTCTTTGTACCAAGTTTCAAAAAAATCGGTCCAGCCATCTCCGAGAAATCACTCCGGACGGACTGACGAAGGCGAAACTACAATGCTAAAGGGGAAGGTTGCCTTGATAAAACAACGAAAATTTATTGATGATTATTCAGTTCTTGACAAAGGAATGACATTTGATCACGCTGTTAAATCATTGTAATGATGCATATTGATGATTAATAGATGGAGGTACATTTCAGTGCTGTGTAAATGTATTTAAATAAAAGCGGCGCGTAATCGACATTTGTTGTGGTACTGGACGGCTGCCAACACACATGGAATTTCATGTCGCAGAGGACTTATAATAGGGATTTCGGTAAGAATATCAAATGCAAACTAAGGAAGTTTGGGAACCACTGACATACATAACCGAAAATAAAACAGGTCAAATAAAATGGAACTGAAAAATAACGAACAAGTCCTTACCTTGCATATAGAACGTAAACTGCAATTGACCTCACTGTCACGCATGCGTTGTGGAATACATAGTAACGACTTTGATGAAGTTACGACGTAGACATGTTACATGAATATTTAAGGTGCAATTTTTAATAGAAAGCATTTATTATGGAATGCCGCAAGTACATATTTTGGCCTCAACCTCCACCCGGACTATCGTCGTTATCTTTGCTAGCCATTAAAGATTTCGAAACTTTAGAGCGCCACCAGCGGCTGTTCCCGGCTCTATGCGTCCAATTTCAAATATTAGCACACACATGTTTCAATGACACTACGTTTGCTGAAATGCAAAGATGTTTGAAAGAGTAATAAAGTATATTTGCGATTGGCATTGTTTCGAGACCTAGCGCAAAAATCATCAATAAATTGGCTATTAGCCGAAAATGTGATATATACACTCAGCATGGCTGTCAATGTTGCAGGCACAGTCAGCTGGCGCAAATGAAAATAAAATAAATGCGGTATTTACTATATTGGGGCCGCCATCTTGAATACGGCATGCCGTCATTCAAGATGGCGGCCAGCATATAGTAAATACCGTATTCATATTATTTTCACTTGTGCGCCAGCTGACTGTGGTCGCAGGTAACTAGTCCAAGAGTTCATCATAACTACATACATTCGGTGTGATTGTCAAACTGTAAACAGTCGATCGGCATAATTGCCGCAGGTTACTAGCCACAAATATCATTATAGCTATATACACTCGGCGTGATTGCAACAATACTAACCATGATCATATAACAGAGTTGAAACACGTATTTGATCGGGTGCTATCACGTGACATTTACTGATCAATAAATAATGAATAATAAATACCGTATCCATGAAAAAAACGTGTAGAAAATTAAATTAGTTAAAAAGCGTAATATGAAACTGACACTATTATGTTGAAGAAATAACATAGCTTTATGTTAATTAGAATTAATCTTCAGGTTATTTTTTGCAGTGTAAAAACAAGATTATTAATATAACAATTACTCGCAATCACAATCAACGAAACAACGATTGAAAATGCTCAAAAACAGACAATCAACCTGAGGTTGCACACTTACTATTTGATTTTTGTTATGTACCCATCCTAAATTGAAATGTGCATGGCAGAAAAACTCATTTTCCAAATGACTTCATATGTGTTCTCAGGAATCCCATTATCTGAACAGTACTGTTATCTCTCATATTCTGGTACGCCAGCTGATTGGAAGAGAACCGATCACGTGGAATGGAATAAATCGCAATGCACCATTCAGCTTACGCCTTTATCTTATGACGTCAGCACGTAGGACAAACCACGCAGCGCAAGGTGTTGTGTCAGTACCGAGTTCACTAATTAAAAAAACAAAGCTGTAATATTTTGAAAAGTTTTGGCACTAATTCGAGATGACAAAAGATTAATTGATTAAAGAGACATGAGACACATTTTTGTGCGATCTTCTTTGTATTTTGGTTACCACTGATCCGATAAAAACAGGTCATATGACCTGTACCCATGCTCATAATATTTTGAATATTTGGATTGGTATAGTATTTTTAGCTCCGCTGTCGACTTTGTCGAGCGGAGCTTATCATATGAGTGATTGTCCGTCGTCGTCG